CGAAAGTAACTCAACAATTTGTGGCAACATAGGTGGTGTATGTTGACCCGTACTCACTGAACCCGGTAGAAGTTTGAAAATGAATTTCCTCAAGACCCGTACTCATTCACAACCCAACTCTTTGAACTCAGTTTCAAACTCTGGCCGTGAACATTTTCAGCTTTTTTTTAGACAATATATTTCATATTTGATATTTGGGTAAATTTAATTATTCTGGAGATTAAATTTACGAATATTTTTAGAGGACTTGAACCATTAAAAACTCAACTCATATTTAACTCAAACTAGCATTAAATTTGAATCACATAGGACTTCCGACTCAAAGCACGTTCCGATTTGATCTACACCATTTTCTAATTGGCAAAATGGTACATTACAAGATCATACATATTACTTTAATATGATTGGTGATAAAGACTTCTACAAATGGAGATGTGTGTTGGAAAATTAAATATATACTGAAAATAATTGATATGTTTTATATATCGAGAGAAACTAAAATTTTAAGTTTTACCATCGAGTGAAAAAAAAATTACTTGCTCAATCAAACGATTGGTTTGAATTTTTAATTGAGCCGCAAATCAAACTCAATTCTGGTTTTTGTTCAGTTCCACCGAATCAGTTTGATCCTATGCCCAAACTTACCTCTAAAAACAAAATACTAAGATTTTATTTTTCCTTTTTTTTTGTTCCTTTCTAGATTGTCAAACACCAATAGCCCAAGTAGTACATTTGAGTCTGTCTCTTGAGACCAAAAAGAGTTCGACTTTCATTCCATATATGTAGATGCGAGGTAAAATATGGCTCTCACCTACACCCGCAAAGAGAAAAAAAAAATATAATCCTTCCCGAATTTTACATATGTGCATCATTTTATATACATAGGAAGAGACAAATTCCTCCATGATATATGCACAAGAATAATAATACTTTTCCGGTTTCTTGTAGACGTTCTTTAAAATATGTTTGTTGTATTCGAAATATTTAATGTTTACTCTTTCAATGTTTTGGTATTTCACTATTTTATTAGCCTATTAACACTACGTTTTAATTAACACCACTACGAAATGATTGACACAACGTAAAACTAGGGATTGACAACAACAAGATCATTATATGAGAAGAAAAACTAATTTAATCCTTATATAGCAGAATGACAAAAATGTACAATGGTAAAATAAAATGAATGATTATAAATCGCGATTCCATAAACAACTAGTACTACTATGTTACTCATATGTGTAAATGATAGACCCTATGTGTAATAGTTTTAGGTACTTTCTTGATTTTGTAAAAAATCAGTATATAGTATTCTTGTATCCATTATCCAACATTAATCTCGATAAGTTTTGAGCCTCCCATTATTTGAATTCAAACAAAAAAGAGCTGACAAATAAACTTCTCCAAATGCAATCATCATGCTTACAAATATTATTGAAATCTATTCTCACTTTTGTTTTTTATTTATGTTTGGGGAACATTGATCTCTTAACTTTAAGCAGATTACTACAAACATGCAAGCAGACAACATAATTACAACTTGCATAATTAAAAAAAATAAAATCAAGTCTACCGTTTCAATTTGATGTCCTTATATTTGGAG